AGTAAGCAAGAAGCCTTCCGATTGCAGGAAGATATTGTCCGAAGGAAATAACTCCATATGTTCAACAAGTTTATAAAGAAACTCGAAAAGCATGGTGCATGGAAGACACAACAATGCACCTCCATTGATACTCATTTAGTTTTGGTTGCACAAACCAAACTCAAGGGTCTGAATCAGCAAAAAGATAAGTATTAGTATCTATGCTAGCTACATCCATGCTATGATTCAAATCTGGTATGAAATTAAATATCTTAATAAAAAGATATGCAGGATCTACAAAGATGTCGCCTCAATAAGAGAGTTTACCTTCAGAAACGCTAACATGGCCAAAGCGCGCAACTCCAGTAACGGAATTGTGTCCTTGCATCACAATAACAAGATAAGTTTTCTACTGACTAAGCATCAAGTTAAGTGCTTAAGCACAACGATCTCTAAGATCATCAGAGGTAAGCATCTACGATGAGTAAATATAGAGGTGTCTCTAAAGTTATTAGAAGCTATGTGCTCATTAGAGTAAATATAATCTAGAAGACTACTCTCAGATACGGTGAAGGCTAAGTGCCTAATAACAAAGGTCTAAGGACCTCAAGTAACTTTAGACAACATGGTTGTCTCTTAAGTCACTGGGAAAAGTGGTGGCCAGAAATATATTACAGGCATGACCTCCAAACAATGACTACGGTCAATATAAAACAAATAGAAGCATCAAAATGCTCATCAAAAATAACTACGGTCAATACAAAACAAATAGAAGCATCAAAATGCTCATTACAAATATTAGAGGCATGACCTCCAAACAATGACTACGGTCAATATAAAACAAATAGAAGCATCAAAATTCTCATCACAAATATTAGAGGCATGACCTCCAACAATGACTATAGTCAATACAAAAAATAGAAGCATCAAAATGCTCATTGCAAATATTAGAGGCACGACCTCCAAACAATGAAAACTAAAGGCCACTTGTCCTATGAAAGGGTAGCGACGACTGTCACCTCAAAAGAAAAATATATATCTGAGGCAAACCTTATGAGAGATAGAAAATTGATTACGATTGCTGTAAAAAGAAGATCGTAAAGTCGTTATATAAAGACTGACTACGGTTGGTATAAAAAAGTGCTAACGCAATAAGAGGAAGCAACCATGATCGCCAAAAATTCAATGACTACGGTCGGTTACCAATAAAAAGTAGTGACAAAAATCACTGAAACATAAGAGACAATAGCTCTTGTTTATTTAGCCGAAACCACGTAATTAGTGGCCAGAAAATATAATCTATGGGGCAATGAGCTTCCGAGAACGATGGATTTCTATGGCCACTGACCTACAAAAATTGATGATTACGGTTACAACGAGTTAAAAATCAGAGGCAATGCCTCCTAAGAAAAAGAAGTGATGACGATCACTTAAATAAGAAATAGAGGCAAAGCCTCCTATGCACGATCACCTGAAAAAAAAAAAACAGAGGCAAGACCTTTTATGTAACAAGAAGCATCAAGTTCTCATTACATAAAGAAATAAGAGGTAATGCCTCCCAACAAATAGAAGTGATGATGTTCACTTAAGAGAAAAACAGAGGGAAAGCCTCCTAAAAAATAAGAAGCAGCTATTGTACTCACAATAAACTGAGTCATAAGCATTGCCTTTCAAAAAGAAAGGTGCCAAGAATCACAACAGAGTAGAGGCACTCTCTGATGGAACACAACTACTATGATTGCCGCAAAATTAAAGAGACGCAAAGCCATCTTATAAGAGCAGTGTCTACAATCACTAGCCAAAAACTGTGGTCACTGACTGAGAAAAAGTATTGAAAAATCACTCGAAGTTATTCAAGAGACTGGAGCTCTTATGAAGAATAATTTGGCTACGGTCACATATTTAGAAAACAGTAACAAACAGCCACCAAAAATTAGCGGGCAATAACCTCCCAAAGAGATCATTGACTACAGTTACGGACCAACAAATTTAGTGGTTATGGACACTGCAAACTATAGAACATAATGCAGCAACTGCGATCGTTACAAAAAACAACACATTCTAAGAAAAAAGCCTTAAGAAATTAATAAACAGCGACCACGACTGACGTTGTTGGTGTAGGTGGCTGCCACCATTATCATCGTCAAAATAAAGGAACAAGTTCAATGAAAATTGAATAAAATGACTACGGTTGCTAAGGATGCCAAATCGAAGGGCAACATCATTAGGAAAGTTATACTGGATTCAAATGTCGAATATCAGACATGTGTGGTAGGTTCGGTCACACACTACCTAAAACTAAAAACGACTATAGTCACTGCAAAAAGTATTGGGAATAAAGCATCTTTAGGAAGAAAGGCTTAGAAAGAAATATAGAGAAAATATCCCCTAACAGAGAGGGTAGTAACAATCACTACCAGAAATGGGGGGGCAAAGCTTTCTAATAAAAGGAAGTGACGACTGTCACTACAATAATGACAACAGCTACTGCAAAGCCTCTTAAGAAACGACAATGCGGGTGATTATTGAGAAATAAATCTTAGACAAAGCCTGCTCCCATACGGAGAGCAACGATTATAGTTGCTGCAAATTTAAGGAGAGGAAAAGCTCTATACTTTAGGCGGTGATTATAATCCGTATAACGACCGTAGCTAATAAAGAAAAATAATTACGGTTAGCCTATCACTGAAAACTAAGTGAACGATTATGGTCACTGACCAACAAATACAAGGACTATGACTGCTTGTTACTCTACGATGATTGAGAGATAAAGTCTCTTAGCAAACGACAGTGACTAAGATCATTGGTCCATGTGATCTATGAGAGAGAGAGTGTAAGCAATAATACTTTCTTGGTATTGAATAATGATCGTAGGTACAAATATATACATCATGAAAGGAAAGAGCTAGAAGGAACTATTTACGGAAGGACAATATACGACATTTATACAGAGGATTCATCATATCTTACACGCCCCCTCAAGATGGAGGGGCGGAGCAACTCAAATCTTGTTATGAAGCTCGGTGAATCAGGCACGAGGAAGGGGTTTGGTGAGGACATCAGCGAGTTGATCTTTGGTGTTGACGTGTGGTACACGAAGGACACAACTTTGAATTTGCCCACGAATGAAGTGGTAATCTAGAGCAACATGTTTCATTCTAGAGTGGATTTTCGCAGAGGAAGGTTGCCCCGTGATTGTCGCAGTAGATAACCGGCTGAGCAGGGAGTGTAATACCAAGTTCTGAGAGAAGGTTGCAAATCCAGCGGATTTCGGCAGAGGAATTTGCGACCGATCTGTACTCTGCTTCAGTTGATGATCGGGCTACACTGTTCTGTTTCTTGGAGGACCAGGAGATTGGGGTTCGGCCTGAGTAAATGATGTGAGCATTTGTTGAGATGTAATCGTCTCCATCACCAGCCCAATCTGCATCAGAGAACCCGTGGAGCGGGTGTGAGTTGCTAGCCGAGAAAAAAATACGGTGTGTTTGTGTGCCAGCTAGGTAGCGGAGAACTCGTTTTGCAGCTTGCCAGTGGTCTTGTGTTGGCCGATGCATAAACTGGGACAGCCAATTGACGGCAAACGCAACTTCTAGTCGTGTGAATGAAAGATATTGTAAGCTACCCACAAAGCGTCGATACTGTGTTGGATCGGAGAGAGGAGTTCCAGTTCGAATAGACAACTTGGGAGAGGATGCCATCGGAGTAATGACCGGTTTAGATTCAGTCAGGTTGTATTTGTGAAGCAGGTCAACCACATAGTTTCGTTGGGAAAGATGCAGTCCTTTTGGCGTTCGGTGAGCTTCTAGACCAAGGAAGTTGCGAATGGTTCCGGTTCCACGGCTCGGAGGATTTTTGGTTTTGATTGTGTTACGTCCTTGAGATCTGGTGAATGCAGGATTGGCGCTGACAGGGATGTTGTCAGATGCAGCAGACGTGAGGAGCAGTTTTGGTTCTTTGTTGAGCAGTTTCTCGTGCACTTCAGTGACCGACGGTGTGACGTCGCGGCCTTCAATTTGATCGGCAATCACTTTGTACTCTTCAGGTAAACCAGCGAGTATATAATCTATTTGATCTTCATGCTCAATTGGTTTCCCAAGTAGAGCTAGTTGATCAAACCTCGTTATTAAACCTTGCATATACTCGTCAATTGTCTTCATACCTTTGGACCATTGCCGGATCTGTAATCGCAGTTGTTGAATGTGTCCACCACCTGGGTTGGCATAAGTTGCAGCTAGAGTGGACCAGATGTCAGCAGCAGTTTTGGATTTGGAGACGAGTGGTTGAGCGGAGACGGAGATTGCACCGATCAATCCACTGTATATGAGTCTGTCTTGTCTCTTCCACAGGGTGTACGCCAGGTTTGGCGTTGTGGTGTCACCAGTTGTGATGGTGGTGGCTGGTGGTCCAGCAGATCCATCGAGATACCCAGCTAATTCATAGCCATCTAGGAGAGCATTAACCTGAAGACTCCATATTAGGTAATTGCTTGGGTGATGCACGCATAGACGACAAAGATCACGAAGAGTGCAATCAGAGGAGGACATCGGTTCGAGGAAGAATTCCAAACCGTAGGTACGAGACGTAACCGGATCATAACCGGTTTAATAATTGCAATTTCTAAGTTTCAGCTGTTTATCAATTCAAGTATTGTTAATAAGGACTTAGTCGTCCGAGTTTGAGGAAGAGACTAAGTCCACTTTCCCATTTCCTTGTTGCACTTTTCCACTTCCGTAATTGTAGGGATCGGATGATCTCAAGTTGTAATTTCTTCTATTTAAATCAATGAAAACAACAAAAAGAGGTAGTCTTAACTATCCAAAAATATCTGTGTCTACATTTGTTCTACGAGCAAATCTCTTGGCTTTGAGGAGAGACCGATTTTAGCTTCTGTTGCTAACAATTGGTATCAGAGCACCGATCTTCTTTTTTTTGTTTTTCTCTCAGAAACTTTCACCATTACTCTACGACGATCTAAACGCAAAGGGAAACAGGTCGTGACTCCGGACGCGTCCGTCGAGCTGATGGCTTCCACGAAGGATCGTCTAGAGGAGTTGGAAGCTAGTTGTGGGATGATGCAAGACGAGCTGCAGAAGGTGAATGTAGCTATGGTGGATATCAAAGGAGATCTCGATGATAAGTTTCGAAGAATGGAAGAATCTTTTAACCGTTTAATGGAAACGGTGGTGAACAATCGAGATCTTGGAGGATCAGCTGGATCGCGAGGGAGCAGGAGGACAGAAGGAGACCAAACTCATGTGAACGGATATCGCGGGGACCATGTCAATCCATTCGCCGCAACCACATCCAACGCCATACCAACATCCAACGCCATACCAATACGTCATGTGAAACTTGAGTTTCCAAGGTTTCAAGGAGGTGATCCCACTGATTGGATGATCAAAGTGAAGCAATATTTCGAGTACCATAACATGCCACCGGATCAACTTGTGAACTTCACCTCATTTCATCTCGAGGGTGTTGCAAGCGGGTGGTGGCAAGCAACGTCAAAGGCGCTTCGGAATGATTATAGACCGATCACTTGGGAGGTCTTTGAAGAAGAACTGTGGGTACGCTTCGGACCCAACGACAGAGAGAATTTTCACGAGGCGTTAACCCAGATCCGACAAACGGGTTCATTGGATGATTATCAGCAAGAGTTTGAGAGGTTGCAAAACAAGGTTCACAGATGGTCGCAAGAGGCGTTAGTCGGAGCCTTCATGGGTGGACTCCACCACTCCATCTCTAATGGAATACGTATGTTTCAGCCTAAGTCCTTACGCGAAGTTATTAATTACGCGCGGTTGAAAGATGGACAGTTGCAGCGCCAAAGACGGGAGTTTCGCCGACAACCGTTCCGGGCAATGACCTCAAGCCCAAACACAAGCACAGAAAATCGCAACAAAGAACCAACAAGCCAAACTCCAAAACGGTTATCATGGGAGGAGTTACGGAGGAAGAGGAGTCTTGGTTTGTGCTTCAGCTTCGACGAACGATACACGCCAGGCCATAAATGCAAAAAGCCGCAGCTGTTACTCATGGAAGCTGAAGACGATGAGGAAGACGAAGAGGAAGTGCCGAATGAGACAGTTACAGAACCAGAGATTACATTGGATGCACTTACGGGCTGGGATTCCCCACGAACCTTGAGAATTCAGGCAACTATCAATCACCGACAAGTGGTAGCCCTCATCGACAGCGGAGCAACACACAATTTCATCAGCGAAAAAGCGGCAAACCGTCTAAACTTGAAGCTGACACCGACAAAACCCTTCACAGTTCGGGTGGCTGATGGGAATCCACTACAGTGCACCGGGAAGTATCACGGGGTGGCGATTGATTTAGGCAGCGTCGTATTCAACATCGACCTATACCGTCTACCGATAACAGGGCTTGATTTGGTTTTGGGCATACAATGGTTGGAGCTGCTGGGTCCAACTGTTTGCGACTGGAAAGCCCATTGGATGAAGTTTAAATGGACCGGCAATGAACACATGTTACAAGGATTAGCAACAGGCCAAATCAAACAGGCCCAAGAAGAGGAAGTGTTTTATGAAGCCCGAAAAGGACATATGCTATTTGCATTACACGTTGTAGACCAAGACGGCGCCGTTCCAGTCATCCCTGTAAACCTTCAACCCCTTATCGATGAATTCGCCGGATTGTTCCAAACACCGAAGGAGCTGCCACCAAATCGCGATATTGAGCATCAGATTGCATTAAAGGAAGGCTCAGATCCAATGAATGTACGGCCATATAGGTATGCTCACTTTCAGAAAGAGGAAATCGAGCGTCAAGTGACAGAGATGCTGCGAGCCGGTTTGATTCAGCCAAGTTCTAGTCCATTTTCATCCCCTGTTTTGCTCGTCAAGAAAAAAGACGGATCGTGGCGCTTTTGTACTGACTATAGAGCATTGAATGCGGCAACGATCAAGGACCGTTTTCCTATTCCTACGGTGGAAGATATGCTCGATGAGCTTCACGGAGCAAAGGTGTTTACGAAATTGGATCTTACTGCGGGCTATCACCAGGTGCGAGTTCGACCCGATGATACACATAAAACGGCGTTTCGCACTCATAACGGACATTATGAATAACGGATACGAATACTTGGTAATGCCGTTTGGGCTGTGTAACGCACCGTCCACATTTCAGTCGCTCATGAACTCAATCTTCCGGGAATACCTCCGTAAATTCGTCCTGGTTTTCTTCGACGACATTCTCGTCTACAGCACATCTCACCAGGAACACACTGAGCATGTTCGCAAGGTATTCACGATTCTACATCAACATCGTCTCTTTCTCAAGCTAAAAAAACGTGAGTTTGGAAAAGAGGAGTTGGAGTATTTAGGGCATATGATTTCGGGTGATGGAGTACGAGTGGATAAGGCAAAGATCCAAGGTATGCTCGATTGGCCTACACCTACAACAATCACGGAACTGCGAGGATTTCTTGGGCTCACTGGGTATTATCGCAAATTTGTTCAAGGTTATGGCGTGATTGCTCGGCCGTTGACAAACTTGTTGCGCAAAGGGAAATTTGGTTGGAGCCCTGAAGCAGAATCAGCATTTGACAAATTAAAGCAGGCTATGAAGACAACACCAACATTGGCTTTACCCGACTTCTCCATTCCATTCGTGATTCAAACAGATGCTTCGGGAGGGGGTATTGGTGCTATACTTTCTCAGCGTGACAAGCCCATCGCTTTCATGAGTCGGTCATTGGGTGTCACCAAACAGAACTGGTCAACTTATGCACGGGAAATGCTAGCAATAGTGGTCGCAATTCGAACATGGCGTCCTTATCTGTTGGGCCACAAATTCACGATCCAAACAGATCAAAAGAGTCTCCGATATTTGTTGGAACAACGGATCCTCACCCCTGAACAGCAAAAATGGGTTGGCAAGCTCGTTGGTTACAACTACGAGATTGTGTACAAGCCTGGTAAACATAACGCGGCAGCAGATGCTTTGTCAAGAGTCCCTAACAGCCCATGCCTCCAAGCAATTTCATCGTCTCATATACCGATCTGGGAGGAACTGCGATCAGCCTCCACAACTGATCCGTATTTACTTCGGCTGGGAAAACTTTCTGATGCTGCACCAGGTCAACCTTACTCTCGCCGTGGTGGAATTTTGTGCTACAACAATAGAGCTGTGGTGCCACCAGGGTCGTTCCTTATAAAGCAACTGCTCCATGAGTACCACGACACACCACAAGGAGGCCACTCAGGTATTTTGCACACTTTCAAACGCCTTTCCCAACAGTTTTATTGGCCGTCGATGTATCGCAGTGTGCGCGATTATGTTTCGGCGTGTACGACTTGTCAACAAGCCAAATACGAGAGCCTCTCACTTGCTGGTCTTCTCCAACCATTACCAGTTCCATCTCACGTTTGGGAAGATATAGCAATGGATTTCATTGACGGTCTGCCACGTTCAGACAATCATACTACGATAATGGTCGTCGTCTATCGTCTCACCAAAGCGGCACACTTGGTACCACTCTCGCATCCCTACACGGCTAAATCTGTGGCTAATAAGTTTATTGAGTTCATTGTTAAGCTACATGGTATTCCCAAGTCAATCATCAGTGATCGGGATCCGGTGTTCGTTAGCTCTTTTTGGCGTGAGCTCTGGAGACTATCTGGAACACAATTACGCATGTCGTCTGCTTACCATCTTCAAACTGATGGCCAGACTGAAGTTGTCAATCGGTGCGTAGAACAGTTCCTCAGATGCTTCGTTCATAACAGACCAAAACAATGGAGTTCGCTGCTTCCATGGGCGGAATACTGGTACAATACAACATATCATGCTTCCACAGGTACAACTCCTTTTCAAGCTATGTATGGACGTGCACCACCAACGTTACCAGGTTATGAGATTGGGTCCACACCAGTTCACGAGCTCGATGAACAACTAGCTGCTCGGGATGTAATCTTAAAAGAACTCAAAGCACACCTGGTTAAGGCAAATCAGAGAATGAAACAGGTAGCCGACGCAAAACGAAGAGACGTTTCCTTTGAGGTTGGGGACTGGTTTTTTCTCAAACTGCAACCATATCGGCAACACTCCATATTCCGCCGGTCGTCGCAGAAGCTGTCTATCTGGTACTTTGGACCATTCCAGATTGAAGCTAGAGTGGGCGCTGTTGCTTATCGATTGAAGCTTCCGGAAGGAAGTCGTATTCACTCCGTTTTCCACGTTTCATTATTAAAGAAGAGAGTTGGTGAGGATACGCCAATTTCAGAGTTCAGTGGCGCGGGCTACCCGTTGAGGAAGCAACTTGGGAGAATGCAGAGCAGTTGCAGGCGAGTTTTCCAGACTTGAACCTTGAGGACAAGGTTCTTTTTGACGGGGAGGGTATTGATGCACGCATAGACGACAAAGATCACGAAGAGTGCAATCAGAGGAGGACATCGGTTCGAGGAAGAATTCCAAACCGTAGGTACGAGACGTAACCGGATCATAACCGGTTTAATAATTGCAATTTCTAAGTTTCAGCTGTTTATCAATTCCAGTATTGTTAATAAGGACTTAGTCGTCCGAGTTTGAGGAAGAGACTAAGTCCACTTTCCCATTTCCTTGTTGCACTTTTCCACTTCCGTAATTGTAGGGATCAGATGATCTCAAGTTGTAATTTCTTCTATTTAAATCAATGAAAACAACAAAAAGAGGTAGTCTTAACTACCCAAAAATATCTGTGTCTACATTTGTTCTACGAGCAAATCTCTTGGTTTTGAGGAGAGACCGATTTTAGCTTCAGTTGCTAACATTGGGGTGAGCTTTCTCACATTAGACATATTAACATTAAGAAGGGCTTGTGGCGTTGTGTCAACAGTTTCAGAGGCAGTTGCAGCGGAGGTGGGCATGATGGCAAAATCGACTGCTAAAGAAGAAAGGAAGAAGAAGACGAGAGGAACAGGGAGGAGAGAGAAGAAGAACGATTGAGAAGAGAAGGAGAGGGAGGCAGGAGCCGAGAGAAAAAGAATTAGGGTATTCAGATCTGCTCTGATACTATGTAAGCAAGAATACTTTCTTGGTATTGAATAATGATCGAAGGTACAAATATATACATCATGAGAGGAAAGAGCTAGAAGGAACTATTTACGGAAGGACAATATACGACATTTATACAGAGGATTCATCATATCCTTAACAGAAAGTACTAAGACTGCGTATGCGTGGATTTCCATGAAATTGGAATAATAGTCTCGTAAGAATCCATCCTCTCAAAACCTCTAATGGGCACCAAAAAGCGTAATGGACTTGCTTAATGAAATTGAAACAATTGAAGCTTCAGTCATGAAAGAAGAAGTCTGACGTACACTAGTGAAAGCTACGTGCCTAAACATTGTTATCAGCTCAGTAAACAAATGCAGGGAATAGACAATCGTCTCTTACTTATAACTGTTAGTAAGGAAATTGAAACTTCCTCGCCCATGACTGATTTGCAAAAACAAAAGGACGTGTGGCTATCAGTTTGCACTCCAAAATGACAACGCTTTGAGTGGGAAAGAAAACCGGGACAACTCTTTTGGAGCTTAAGCTCCCTAACTTCATCTCACTGGAGCTCCGAATCCCTAATCATACCTCGCTAGAGCTATAAACACAATATAATTTCAGCGTGATATGAAACAAATCAAGGGAGAAAGAAAAGTTCTTCCCCAAGCTTCAAAAAAAAGCTTGAAATTTGAGCTTTATAGTGTGAATGAACACCCATATAGTAGAATCTCTAGTCGGAGTTCTTCCACTAATGGCTACATGCATGAAACAGTTCAACTGCAAGCCTGCAAGAATAAAAAAAAAAAATTGAGATAACTAAGAGCGTCAATAGAACGTACCAGTGGAGATGTAGAGTTGCTACGAATCAAGGCAATATATCCAAGCGTCCTATAAAAATATCTTGCACTTGGTGGTTTAAGTTGCTACGAATCAAGGGAATATATCCAAGCGTCCTTGAAAGGGAAATCTTAAAGACGACAAAACAAACAAGGTACATACAAAAGTTGTCACAAAATAACAAGATTGTTGTGTGCATGGATGCAAAGACGGTTACAGAGGGATGTAGTTTGGTTCAATAAAAAAAAAACTACAAGCAGAGATGGCGAGTGTTAAGGTCTCAAAAATATCAAGTTCATATCTCTCTCGTATTAAAAAAGAGAAGGTTGAGGGCTCCAATTTTACATATTATGTAAAATGTAGACAAGAAGAAAAGTCATCAAAGGAGCATTTTACACAATAACAAGAGACAAACAATGGGAGACTCATGTAAGAAAACTAACAGAGGAAACTTAGATGGACTGAGTATAAAAACCCATGAGGTTAGTTTTGGAGACTCATTCATAGAACCGGAGCGACGCTATATATTTTGCTTACGAGACAACATGGAAATGACATGCAAAAATTATTAAGATTAATGATGAATGATTTATGTCTTTACTACTCTCCAAATTCTATATAAGAAATTGAAGAATAGGGGGCAAGTTGTTGGGCAAAATAAAATTATTATCTAAATACCGTATAAATCGGTATTGACACGTCAATAATAGTCCCTCTAAAATTAAGATTTAATACACTTCTTAATTGGAGCGGGATTAGGGTCTCAAGGGGACCTATAAATAGGGAAATCCTAAAACAAAAAGGGAGATAAGAAAATCCTAGAAACTCTCTCTATGAACTACCAATGGCTTGATCCCTTAAACAGGGTATGTAGGCAGCCTATCTCTAAGGCGCAGCTATAAATCAGAGAAAAACCTAGAGTTATGATCTCTATCGATCCATAGATCTGTTTCTATTCAAACCGGTTAAAATTTGTCCACAATAAAAATCAATAAAGCTGCAAGTGCACAGCTAATCGATTGTAGTACTTAGGGATGGAATCCACAGGGATGGAGGATCTTATCCTACAAAAACCTTTGATAGAAATATGAAGCAAGGAAGTCTAGAACTGGTCGAAATTTTAAAGGGATTTTGGGTTGTCACTAAAACGTAAATTCTAAACTAAACGGGAAAGGGAAAAGTACTTAAGAAAATCACTGGAAAAACTAAAGAAAATCTAATCTAATTTAAAACTTAAATGAAAATCGGCTGG